ATTTCCTTACTAACCAAAATTGCACAATTCCTTTTCATTTTATCATTTGGGGATGAAAATGAAGCACTGGCTATCATATATAAGAAGCAGAAGAGTTTACTAAGCTATTTCACACATTGCAGTGTGAAAATACTGACTCCCACCCCATTTCCTAAAACTGTGACATTATAATTTTGGCCAACAGTTTCTAAAGTGAAAGATGGGTACTTGACCTGAACATGCATTTCAGACTTTTAAAGAAAATACCCATTTCCAGTGTAACCGAGTCCATCCATCCTTCGATTGGTCATCCCCTTCTTCTCTTTCCTTCCATCTTTCCTAGGATAAGAGTCTTCTTCTCAGAGCTTAGGTGTTTGCATAATGTGACCATAGTAGGGTAATTTAACCATGGTCATTTGTGCCTCAAATGAGAAATTTGGATGACTTATTTGGTGGTCTATACTGTTGAGCATTATTCTCCATATTCAATCTCAGCATCCTGTATCCAGAGGATGGTTAGAAGTTAATGGTTCTTGGGGAAATGGCATTTTTACAGAACAATTTATTTGGTGGTCCAGGTTTGGGGAGATTTTTTTTTTGTTTTCCTGCTATAGCTTTCTCCCCTTTTGGAACTCCTTTAAGCAAGTGGAATATTGGAAATATTTTATTATTGCATTTTTATTATACTCCCCCGCTCTCAAGACTTCAAGGTGGGTCATTGGACTGTGACAATCAGGCAAGTGGGGCTAAGAGTGTGTCTGGCATAAAGTTATCCAGAAACTGTCAAATGGGAATTTCAAGCTGGGTCTGTCCAGTTCAATTCTCAGCTCTTCAATACGCTGATCTACATATAAAAGAAGGTTTGACTCAAATTCATATAGGCTCAAAAGTTACCTATTTCTTCCCATTTGGAGAAGTTCTTCAAGTTAGTCCCAAGCCAATGTGACAGAAGCCTGGATCTCTTAGTAGTCATGACCTAACAAACTGCTGTAAGAATTATCAAGATAATGTACATGAAATGCTTCAAATTCTCCTGCCTTTATGGTGTTTGTAATTAGGCTGTGGTTTATAATATCAATGAAATCTCAATGCTACATGCTTTTTTAGAAGCTATCCAGATAAGGAAGTCTCAGGTTAGAGAGCTCCCAAGCTACCTATTCCACTTATTTTGAAATGCTGTAGTAGATTGAGCCCTTCGGACACCCACACCTGTGAGATTATTCTTTCTTTTTAGTTGAAAGTGGCCTTTATTAAGTAATTAGTGGTTGTGTAGTTTCTTTAGCTAATTAGCTCTTATGAAGGATTTGAGATTGATCCCCATAGGACTTGCCTTGGTTTTGATATCATATGGTCACAGGTTCTTCCTTATATTCCAGTTAGTTAAATCTTTCATTCTTCCTTTTTCGTGCTCTGTCAGATTAAAATTATGTTCTTGTCACATAATTAGCCATTTCTTATGCTTATTTAGATTAGCTTTTCCGTTTTGATCAAACTCATCCATTTTAGGTGTCCATGTATGTAGATTGATATATACATTGCCGTATTTTCTTTTCCACCTGGTAGAACATTATCAAATATATTTGTGTATATTCCCTCCTCAAAACATATTCATCAATATTAAATATGCTGAATCAATTGAACTCAGGTGCCTTCTTTAATTAGATCTAATTCATCTAAATTACACCTCCTCGGGGTATATCTTAATTCCTTATAATGCTGGACTAGCAAAAAAGATTTCTCGTAAGATTGGGTAAAAACAAGTAAATAGATGTATCGCCATGTTGTGGTTTTTTTGCCTGTAAGCAAAGCAGTTGTCATTCATATCAGAGGTTTCTCTGGGTATGTGTTTCTCTTTCAGCCAGGAGGGATTTTTACTTAGGACAATTAAGACAATTACAGCAGGCTCTGTCTTATTTGAAAGCCCATAACATTTTTTTTACATTCAATGAATGTTGTCAATTGAGACAAGGATGGCAAATAATATTGCTCATTGTGGTACAAAGGATATAAAAAACAGGTGGGCAAACTGCAGGCCCTATTTCCCTTCCCACAAGACATTTGAACATTGCCTATGATGCTGGCCACCACCTCATTCACCTCTATTCCACTAATGCAACATCTGTAGGGAAAAAAGTGGGAGGCAGAATTGAGTGTGTCATCAGCTTAGACTCATTGCGTTCCCACAGGCAGACCAAGCCCAATCCCTCCTGAATTCCTTTGACCCTTATCTGGTGCCAATTTAGTGTTGAGTTGACCAGATTCTTGTGTAAAGGCTTAAATATTTTATGCTGCAATCTACAGTAGTAGAAACTCCTGGTCCTTTCCAGCTGAAAACATCACCTTTAACACCTTATGTCTAAATTATTCAAGGTAGTCATGTGAGCTGAAACCCTGATCCCTGTGTTGTAGAACAGTCTTTCTCCTGGAAGTTAAATTTGCCCCAAATTAGAACAGAGTTGAAGTTTTGGTGGACTTTTTCAATTAGTTGGGTAACATCAGAGGAACTTTGGGTGTCCTCCATTCCTTTGGGCCTTTAAGAATTTTATGACATTTAATATAGACATTCTATAGCAGACATGTCAAACACAAGGCCCGGGGACCGGATGCGGCCCGTGAAGTGGTTTCATGTGGCCCATGAAGCCATCCTGGAAACAGTGAGGGAACGGCTCCCGCTGCCTTGGCCCTGGCCCAGGCCAGCCGGGAGCCAACGTACAATTTTGTGGTGGCCATCTTGGCACTTGCCCCGGTCCCACCCCCTTCTGCCAGAGACCCTCAGATCTGTCCCACTCCTGCCCAGGCCCCCATAGGCACCCTTGACGCAAATGATGTAGAACTGGCCACGCCCACCCAGCAGGCCACACCCACTCCATCCACACCCACCCAGTAGGCTGCACCCACTCTGGCCTCACCCACCCGGCCCCCCAAGGGCAACCACAATGCTGATGCGGCCCTCAGTGAAATTGAGTTTGACACCCCTGTTCTATAGTCATGTACACTGCGGAGAGTCATAGGATTAGGTTGGGATAAACATCTGAGAAACAAATAAATAATAAACAAGGAGATGCATGAAGATTTTTACCAGACAATGGCACAGCCCTTTTCAGGTGTTTTGCTAATAAACTGATTCAAACCTGTGAATGCTGTTGTCATGGGCTGGCTGAGAATTATGGGTATTGGAATGCAATCGTTCAGGAGGGTACAAGGTTGGGGAAAGACTACTCTTAAGGGAGCAAAGGAAACTGTCCAAACTAAGGACAATGGTCTAATAGGTTAGAAAGATGAATAATGTAAGCACCCAAGCATTCCAGAGTGGAATGGCTAAAGACCCCAAAAGCTTAATCCTATTATCATAAAGACAGTTTAAGTAGAGATAGATTCCTAGAGGCTCTCGGGATTAGCCAGTTGATTTTTTTTCTGATTATCATTTCAAAGTGCAATAAATAACTTCATTCTAGGCTATATTATTATTTTTATTATTATTATTATTTATATTTCTACCCCGCCCTTCTCCCTACGGACTCAGGGCGGCTTACAGCCTTTTAAAAACAAATACATAAATATAATAATACTAAAGTTAAAATGTTAATTTAAAATGAAATATTATTATAAGGCCTTTATTATTTTTTTATAAAAAATATTATAAAACCATGTTAAAAATAACCCTTAGGCCAGTCCTGCCAGCTTAAATAGCCATGTCTTGAGGGCGCGGCGGAAGGAGGGAAGATCCGGAATCACCCGGATCTCTGGGGGTAGTTCGTTCCATAGGGTGGGAGCTCCAACCGAGAAGGCGGAGGGGGACCCCCAGCGGTCGGCCGTGACAGACCGACTCGGCACCCTGAGGAGACCCTCTCTGTGGGAGCGTATCGGCCGATGAGAGGTAATCTGAGGCAGAAGGCGGTCTCGGAGATAACCAGGTCCGATGCCATGGAGCGCTTTGAAGATGATAATCAGCACCTTGAAGCGCACCCGGAAAGCCACCGGCAGCCAGGGGTTTTTTGGGGGGAGTTTTTTTTGGGGGGGGGGTTGGGGGGGGAGAAACCATTGCTTCCCAATTCTAATCCTAAGGAAAGAATGGCAAGGTCAGGGTCCAAGCTTCGGCCCACTGCATCGTCGTAAATCTCTCTATAAATTCAGCTGGCACTCAGTTGAGGCTGCAGTGGGAGAGTCAAGGATGAGACTCAGCCAGATAACTTATTGTTATTGCCCTTACAAGACATGGTCATAACAAAGAATACCCATTACTGCACTGTACAGCCATCCAGCCTCAGCATTTAAATTTCACATCTCTTGCGCTTGTTCTAGTGTGGTAACAGATTTTGCTCCTTATTTGACAACACTGAAAGTGGAGGCCACCTGCACTTCATTTTGACAATGGTCCTGTCAGGTCTCTGACTGTTTGTTTCCATCCTTTTGGCAACTTTAGCCATGTAGTCCTCATTTTTATTTAAAAGACTCCTTTATGTTACTTTGAAGACGCCCAGCTGACTCATTCCAAACGAATACATCTTAACTTGTAAATTTCTGTTTGCAGTTTTAATGCTGACTAGAATAGCAATAAACTGAAACCATTTCAGTGCCATTGATCTTTCATCCTCCTCCCCCACCCCCAAAATGGGTGACTGTATATTTGGATAGTTCCTTTAAACCTTTAGAGTATTCTGCTGAAATCTGTGGTTACATTTTACCCTGTCACCATGGCTTATAATTGGAGGGAGCATATACTATGTCTCCTCCCCCAGGACAGCAAAACTGATTAAAAGGATGAGAGTAACTAGCAAAAATGCTATTCAAACAGAATCCCTTTGAGACTCCGCAAAGGCAATAATCCACCCAGAAACACATTGTGCAAATGTTATTGCACAAAACGTTGTTTCGTTGCCGCCACCTACAGAGGCAAAACAATGGGTTTTAGGCAGGGGAGAGAGGGAGAGAAAGAGACCCTGAGGTTTGCTTAAATATTGGATTATTGGTTTCCCCCCTTCATATTAAGGAAAGCTTTTGTGTCTTTTGCTCCCCTGCAGGTTTCAAATCTAAAGGTGTGACTGAAATTATCAAAGAAATTGTAAAAGAGCAATTTAAAGCCTTCCAAAGTGATATGCAAGAGACAGTGGCTCAGATTTTCAAGATCACATCTGATCTCTCTGAAGACCTTGAGAATACGAAAGGCTTGGTCAAAGGTTTGAATAAATCCTGCCAGAGATTTGCCCTTGATATTGAAAATAGACCTACAAGGGTAGAAATACTAGACATTCGAACCCAGATCTTGCATATTGAAGAAGATATAAGCTTTACATGTGAGAAGCCAATCAAAGAACTGCAAGAAAAGCAGAGATCTTTGGAAACTGACCTAGAGCATCAAAGCTCAAAGAGTGATATTTACTATGACTCTCTGAACATAACTCTTACACAAATGAAAGAAGCACATGAACAACTGCTGTCAGCTGAACGAAGCTCAGTCCAGAATGTACCCATAGCCGCTGAATCAATGAGTGATAATCTTACAAATTTCATGACAAATTTACAGGAGAAAATGAGAACCCAGAACCTGATGGTTTTGCAGCTGTACGATGATCTCAGAATCCAAGATAACAAGATCAATAATCTTACCATCTCATTTGAAATCCAGAGACATGATCTACAAGGCAGATGTGATAACATATTGTCCCAGTGCAGAAGTGACATCCAAATGCAAATAAGTGGTGTGGAAGGGGTCATTCATTCCTTAAATAAAACTGTGGAGAATCTCATGTTTCCCTTGGATGATAAGATGGAGAAAATGAATGAACAAATTAATGATCTCTGCTATGATATGGAGATTCTCCAGCCCTTGATTGAACAAGGAGTTCCTTTCAGCCTTACATCAGAGGATGAGTTGCGTCTTGAAACAGATACTATTAGCAGAAAACTGGAGAACTTAACTAGTGTTGTGACAGCGCTGAACTTCACCATTGAGGAACTCCACAAAAATCAGAAGGAACTTAAAAATGAAGCTCAGGATTATGATGAAATTTCTCAGAGGCGTATCGATGAATGTTTTGTTTTAATGGAGGATGGATTAAACAAAACCATGATGGTTATCAACAGTGCCATTGATTCCATCCAAGATAACTATGTACTCAAAGAATCCCTGAATACCTGGAAAAATGAGACCGAAGCTTGCTGTGATCGTGGGGAGAAGATGGAAAATATGTTGATGTTAATACCACAATTTCAAAAGATGAATGAATCCCTTCAGATGCTAGTCAACCAAAATGAGAAACCAAAAAGAATTTGGCCCCCTGCGGAATCTTCATTTGGTGAGCAGAACATCCATCACCTCAGCAGAGGTCACCCTAACGCAAATACCACATTATTAAATGTTCAAGAACACAAGCGAGACACTGGTCACCCGGATGAGAAAATATTGCTCTCCAGCAATGAATATAATGACCATGAAACGCGGCTGCAGGCTGTGGAGGCAAAAGTCATCAAATTCTTGGCAAACAATTGTGTCTCAGTAAGAAACGTGAAAGCGGCTGCCACGGAAAATGAGAAAGCCATCTCTGTTCAGCTTCAGACCTTCAATTCTAGAATCAGGGCTCTTGAAGCCAAAAGCATCCGCTTATCGCTGAGCATCCCTGTCTTAAACAAGACAGCCAATGAAGCAAGGAGCTTGTGTCAGGATGTCTCTGGAACCATTAAAGAAATGAATGCCAGCATTCCCAAACTGATGCCAAGTGTTCATCCAGAGGGCATATTGTTCCAGAAAGGCTTCCAAGAGCTCACCGGTGCCGTGGTAGAGGCCAAAACAGAAGCACTTCTAGCCAATCTAACCTTGTATGTAGACAAGTCCCTAGAAGAGGCAGTAGACACTATAACCAAACGGTTAAAGGCAACTGTGACAGTTCCGAAGAAGACATTACCAGGAAAAAAGACTGCTGTGAACGCCGCTGCAAATCAGGCTGGGAGAAGTCAGAGAAACACTGATTCTGCTTTAGAAACAGGTAATGCCTTTTAATATTACCACTCTTTTTTTTTTAATAAAAGTTTTTTATTTATAATACAATTAAAACAAAAATGGACATACGTGGCATTCCAGAGTAAATATTCCTAACAATTTGTTTCTCGTGATACAAAAACTTAATACATCATCCTTAACCTCTATGTAAACCTCATTCTTCTACATAATACAATTATATATACAATTATATGTACAATTATATGTATG